TAAAGCATGTGATTTCAATGTATCTCATATATACTATATAAATAAATAAAAATTATATATATATATTATATAATATATGTATATATAGATCATCTATATATATCTTTGCGTGGGAAACCTCTTTAAACGCTTTATAATATTTAAACTTTAAATTTAATATCATGGTTTTCAATAAATTATCTGACTATAAAAAAGCTAACATATGAACTTGGCGTTCCTAATGTTCCTGGATAAGCAGCGGTAACCAGACTTGCCAAACAAACAAAGTACATATTCCACGGAATCTTTTACTATTCTGCTATTATTACAATTGCTCAAAATTTACTGTGTACCTATGTGCCCAACCAGGCTTGCGAGACAACGTCATTACACATATAACAAATCGAAATCACTACATGTTTGCATTTTTACCTCCTCTTTGATATAACTATAACGCTAATGTATGGCCTTGCTGGCTAACACTCTCAGTGACCATACAGCATTAACAATCGTAGCAAAAGTAGCATTTGCTACGGCCCCGCGTTTTAGAGCCCCGTAATATCATAACTATTTATACTAAATTTTGTTCAACTTTTTTTAATTTTAGATACACGTAAGTTGATACGATAATGGGTGCTGGCCAGAAGTTTGGTTTGTCAGAAAAATCATTACGAACTAAAACGATTTTAGTCTATCATTTGTGTATTTATAATATTTGTCTTTAAATTTAGGGCCCACTTCTACTAACATCGTCGCCTTACAGCCTAGGTCCTTTACTAGCTTATCCGGTCATGTGGCAGTGAACTTATAACAACCCGCCCGCGCTTCTTCTTTTAAAGTTGCTTCCAGACTGCGCACAGGTGACGTGAGACAGTATTACATTAGTAAAGTGTTCGACGACAACCGGGGGTGCGATGTGCCGTCTTAACGCGACCAGAGACATCGCTGTCATCGCAAGTTGTAAACGCCTGGAGTGCAGGGAATGCTGCAGTGGAGACTCTGCACTCCTACGTAACCGCGTATATGTTAGTCAGTATTGTGTAAAATCACAGTGGGCGTCATGTGTGCTGTGTTCATGATGAAATTGTGTGCGCCGACTGCTGTGCCGTCCCGGTGCACGTCGCGTGTCGCAACACCACCAGCAGCTGCACCACAGTAAAACGACCATCAACTACTAACGTAACCGATCATATTGTCAGTATACTTGTGTCAAAAATCACTGATGGGTCGTGCTTCGCCCGTCTCTGGCGTCGTCGCGCGTGATTGTGTGCGGATGAGCAGTGCGTGGACGTGCGCTGCGTGTGCAAATAAAAACAGCAGTGACACGTGAAGGACATAATGCAACTACTACTTAACGAATATATTGTCAGTATGTGTAAAATCATCGGTTGGGGGCGTGGTTGGTGCGTGCGTCTGCGTGCGCTTGAGATTTGTGTGCGGATAAGCGCTGCGTGGTGTGCGTGGCGTAGCTGCAATACAGACAGTAGCGCAGTGAGCGGATAGGATGTGTTGTGTACTCGTGGTTGTTGGGATTGGAGATATACGAAAAAGTAATTTAATTCTATCCATTGTGTGAATAACAATATTTATTATGTCACTTCTCATGTCACACGAATCACCATGTTTTCGTTTGACGCATAAGTTATGAAAAGTAATTATTCTCTTCTATGTGTAATAAAGTCATTTCTCCTTCTTTTCAGCTGGCTGCAATATCAACCCGGGCTTTAGCATACTGGCACGGGGTTCCTATGTCTCGTTTTTTCGTCTTCGCTCTCGCAACGTGACGCGCAATATTTTCGTCGATGTCGGGAATGCGCGTTCGATAGTCCGACACTCGGCGCGTGACTAACCATCCTTCAGACATGACATAGCGTGTGTTGAATACTTCGTCCTTAGACGCAACTTTCGATCCACTTGAAGGCAAGCTTCAATAGCACACTTGAATTCGCAGTGAGTATGAACTAAAAGGCAGGAAGGCGCGGTTAAAACTCGGCGCAAGTGTTATAGCTGGTTGAGATTTTTTAAATCTTGAACGTCACGACGCGAAATCCGAGGGATTTTGCAGCTTAATGCCCGATATCTAAGCGAATTCATGATCATCAGGGGAGAATAATCACAAAATTTAATTCATTCAAATATTCATTGTCATTATTCCTTTATAAATTTGAAACAGTATAAGTACATCTCTGAGCGCAGAGGATGGGAACATCAAGCGACGTCATGCTCCGCTATAGCTAGTGACTCACTCATGCATGCCCTCTCAACGATGCGATGCGGAACAGTTGTTCGTCGCGGAGTTGAACTTTTACGTATTTGCGCCGCTAGAGCCAAAAAGATTTTGTCTCGGTCGAACCAGCCAAGAAATCCTGCCGGTTTTTTTGCCTATAAAATATACATGAGCGGTATAGGCCTGCATGCGCAGCGGGTATCTGGTCATTTTGCGTGTAGCGTGCAGTAGTGGGAGAAGGCAGCTGGAAACCAGAATACAGTCGCTTACACGTGATACGATCAAACGGAGCACTCTAAAACCCTTGTTGTGCATATTCGCGTCGCTTGGCTGATCTGTCGTGTAGCTAGAACACGCCTTAGAAGCTGTAAGACGGAGCGTACTTCCCGTTCTGTTTTACTCTTGCGCGACTCCGGTACTCTCTCGGGGAACGAGTTATTTTGTTTGCACAATTTCCTCCTTCAATTTTTCATTGCCTTGGTTCATTCGCGTGTATAAACGCAAACTCTGAAGCTATGATATCACACTACACATGCACGTAAAATTTTGCGCAGATTGAACATTTCATATTTTTTTCAGTATTGTTGATTATATAACTATGCAATAACGCGCATGCCTCATTTAAAATATAACCTAACATTTTCGCATTTTTATTAAAAATCAGCGTCCGCTGCTTCGATCGCTGTAGCTCCGTTTCTGAAATAGATATGCACTAGTGACGTAATGTGACACTTTTGCGACGTCAGATGACTTCGGAGGTCAAATCCAATGTGCCCATGTGGCAATGTGACCAAAGTTACATCTAATTGCCACCCTTGGACGTATCTAGAGTGGCCCATATTCATTTGAATCGAGAACTGACAAACAGAGAAACTTCCACAAATATGTATTAGATGTTACCTTACAGGACTTTTGTAAAATACAATGTATTAAGTTATGAACTCGTGTTCTTCTTTTTTTTCTGTTTTTGCAGGGGTTGTTAAGAATTGATGATCACACGCTTACTCATGCATCTACTGGACAATCATGCGAAGGGGCCAAAGTATTGGTTATGGTTGCGTCCGCTTTCGTTCGACTCTCCCCTCGTCACTGACTGATTATTTACCCACCCCCCGTCATCACTCCCCATTTTGGCAGATTCTCTCGTATGTGAGTGAAGCTGCATGCTGTCGCGGCAACCCCTTGATTAAAGACAGCGGGGACCTCATCGGAATTACTCAGGGGGAAAAGAAACTTCTTAAATAGATATCGCGCGAAATTGTCCGCAAGCGCATTATCCGTCACTCACGCAGTCTGACGTGGAATGGATCATCGGGGGTGTTTTTTTTCCAACTCGGGACAGAAAAAGTGCGCTGACACGATTATTGGCTCCTCGTTGATTCCCCAAGCCGGGGAACAGTATATTAGGCGCGGGGATGGAGCGACGTTTCATTTGCTTCCATACGCGCACATGCACGCATTCACACACGCGCACACGCATGCACACGCGCTAACACATGCACGCACACACACGCGCACACACATGCACGCACACACGCGCACACACATGCACGCGCGCACGCACACTAATGCACACGCGCGCATACGCAAAATAAAAAGGCGAAGCGGTCTGTGGTAAAAGAGCAAAGCAGCTTCGCTCGCTATTTTACCACAGCGCTTCTTTACCAAAGCGATTCGCTCTTTTATCACAGGCCGCTTCGCTCTATTACTCTTCTTGAAACTTGAGTCTCCAAGGGCTTGGGGTGCGAGATAGTAGCGATGCTTATCTGTACGTCACTATTCACACTCATACGCATCATTATCAGATAGTCATTAAATTAACATCAAGTTTAAACATAAATTAACATTAAGTATGATTAACATCAATACTTTCTTTATTAATAAACGGCAGTCGACAGCGTTTTGCTCGAAGTTTGCGTTATCGTAAATATACTAAGACACGTCACGCCTATGATTAAATATTAAGACAGAAAGAAAACTGCTGGCAAAACTCCGTGGATTTCTATTAATTAATTAATAAAGCATTGATTTCAATGTTAGCTTCATATATATAGGCCCTATATAAATAAATATATATATATATATAAATATATATATTATATATATCTTTGCGTGGGAAAACCTCTTTAAACGCTTTATAATTTTAAACTTTAAATTTAATATTCATGGTTCAAATATCTGACTGAAAAAGCTAACATATGAACGTTGGTGTCTAATATTGTGGATAAGAGTGCTAACCAAGATCGTGCCAAACAAACAAAGTCGATATTCCACGGAATCTTGACTACTTTCTGCTATATACATTGATCAAAATTTATAATGTGTACCTATGTGCCCAACCAGGCTGCGAGACAAACGTCATTACACATATAACCAAGAGCGAATCATACATGTTTGTATTATTACCTCCTCTTGATATAACGCTAATGTGTGGCTTGTGGCTAACTACGTGGCAGTGACATTACAGGATTAACAATAGTAGCAAAAGTAGCATTTGCTACGGGCCCCGCGGTTTTAGGGGCCCCGTAATATCATGAACTATCTAATAGTTAAGTTTTTTCAACTTTTTTTATTTTAGCATACACGTAAGCTTGATACGATAATGAGTGCTGGCAGAGTTTGTTTGTCAGAAAATCTATTACGAAACTAAACGATTTTAAGTTATATTTGTGTATTAATATTTGTCTTAAATTTAGGGCCACTTTATAACATGTGCTTACAGCTAGGCCCCGTACTAGCTTAATCCGGTCATGGGCAGTGAACTTATAACAACCCGCAGCGTTCTGTTTTAAAGTTGTTCCAGACTGGCGACAGGTGACGGTGAGACAGTATTACATTAGTAAAGGTTGTTCGACGACAACGGGGTGCGATGTGCGTCTTAACGCGACTAGAGATCGCTGTCATCGCAAGTGGTACAACGCCTGGGAGTGCATGGAATGCTGCAGTGGAGACCTCTGCAACTACTACGTAACGGTATTGTGTAGTCAGTATTGTGTAAAATCATCCAGTGGGGGCGTGTGTGCGTGCGTTCATGTGAAATTGTGTGCGGATGGGTGTGCGTGGGTGCATGCGTGTGCACAAAACAGCAGTTGACACAGTGAAGACATACTACTACGTAACGATATATTGTCAGTATATTGTGTAAAATCATCGAGTGGGGGCGTGTGTGCGTGCGTGCGTGCGCGTGAGATTGTGTGCGGATGAGCGTGCGTGGGTGCGTGCGTGTGCATAAAACAGCAGTTGACACAGTGAAGACATATGCAACTACTACGTAACGATATATTGTCAGTATTGTGTAAAATCATCGGTTGGGGGCGTGTGTGCGTGCGTGCGTGCGCGTGAGATTGTGTGCGGATAAGCGTGCGTGGGTGCGTGCGTGTGCATAAGACAGTAGCGCGTGAGGGTAGGTGTGTTTGTATCGGCGTGTGGGATGGGAGAGTATCGAAAGGTTAATTTAATTTCTATCCCATGTGTGATAAAATATTTTATGTCACTGTCTCATGTTCACACGAATCACCATGTTTCGTTTGACGCATAAGTACGAAGTATTATTTTTCTATATGTAATAAAGTCATTTTTCCCTTCTTTCCAGCTTGGTGCAATATCAACCCGGCTTAGCATACTGACGGGTTGCCTATGTCTCGTTTTTTCGTCGTTCTGCGCAACGTGACGCAATATTTTCGTGATGCGCGCATGCGCGTTCGATAGTCCATGACACTCGGCGCGTGACTAACATCCTTCAGACATGCATAGCGTGTGTTGAATACTTGCGTCCTTAGACGCAACTTTCGATCATTGAAGCAAGCTTCAATAGCACACTTGAAATTCGCCAGTGAGTATGAACTAAAAGGCAGGAGGGCGGTAAAACTCGGCGAAGTGTTATTAGCTGGTTGAGATTTTTTAAATCTTGATGTACGAGCAAAATCCGAGGGATTTTGCACTTGGTGCCCGATATCTAACGATTCATGACATCAGGGGGGAATAATCACAAATTATTCATTCAAATATTCATTGTCATTATTCACTTCTGATAAATTTGAAACAGTATAAGTACTTGCGCATTAATAAACGATTATGTGACAATTCGGAGCGCCCCTGTGTTTACAGATTACTTGCAATTGTGCATGCGCATGCACTGGAACATCTGCCTCGTTCATACGATATTGAGTGATAAATAATATAGGTAATGGCAAGTGGGCATCAACATTGTGTCAAGAGACGCGACCAGAATTTACCAAATATTGCGGGTGTGCAGTTTGTGCGAAACCCGTCCGACCGCTGGAACAATGCCAGTTAGTTGTGAGGTGTGGCAAGATTGTGCAATGATAAATTTTTATATAACAGCTTCACCTGACGATCAACGCAATAGATTGCTGTTAGTCCTATTTGCCCCGGGCGAAATATGAGACTATGACATGATAACATGCTCTATGTATAACATGAGATATAATATGATATGATCATATGATGATAGATATATATATGATGCCCTATGATGCAGGTTTTACCCTCTGCGTGGGGCATACATGCGTTTTATATAATGTTTTCTGTCTTGTACAAAGTTGCCCAGTCCCTAAAATTTTACAACTTTACAGAATTTTAAGCCATGTACAGATATGCGTGAAATCGTATTGGCGTGCACAAAGTCTATCCATTAAATATTTAGTCTGTTTATTATAACACTACTTTGAAAATTTTAAGCATATTGCCTGCATATTATATATTCCGACTGTTTATTTCTACTTATATTTCCCTGTATAGCACAGTTTCGTTATTTCAAACACCTTCACATTTAAGGGACTTTTTCAAACTCAACGACGTACACATACGGATACTAGAAAATCAAGCGTATAGTTTATTCAGGTGTTTCGGCGAGTCGTTCGTAGAATCATCATAAGTACTTCATACGATCGTGAGTCTAGAATCTCAAAACTTTTGCACAAAACTCGTATATGTAAATCATGTACTACTACATATAAATACTCAAAGCATATTCAAAATGCTATGATGTTTAGACTTGCGATGTCAGATAGCTATTCGTGGTATTTCCCACGGCGGGAGACCCTTATCTAGATATATTTCAACTTTTCGCATTGTACATTTAACTGTCCGCGTCCGATTTCAATTAAACATCTATGCGTTTGTCGGTCCTGAGCACATTTACAATAGAGTGTCTTGTTTAGGGGGAGGTTCGTAATTTTGCTGCCAGTGCCACCCCATCCCGATGCATTCGTGATTCGGTATATGATACATGATTTCGTACATTGATATGGATTACATTCTTCGTCAGTCTTTGAGTGTAAATGCATGGTTGGATTGAGTCGTTGAATCCTAGGTGTGTATTTATAATACCCGTGACAGTATTATTTTATTCTCACTGTTCTATGTACAATTGAGCGTTGCGTTTTACTCGTCCTGAAATCGTTCGCATATTGTCGTTCGTTTAAAGTAGTGCAATAAATTTATTGTTTACCTTGTAAGATTAAAAATACGATGTTTGATTGTGCTTTTATATATATCGTATATAATTTGTATACAATATGTAACACACCCCTCTCTCTATATATATATAGGGCTATATATATATATTATTATCTCTGTATATCTATATATATAATCACGTGGCTAATAATTTACACGTTTTTATTAATTAAAAAAAAACTCATAATTATATGCACGTCGAGCCCATATTTCTCTATTCAGACCGTGTTTTCTGCTTGCATTATTGAAACGCGCTTGTAAGTAATCTTGTTATATTGACCCAACGCGCGTAGCATACTCATAGCATAATCAGCCAGCTAGCCCGAGCTCTATTGCCCAGTACGATTAGGACATTAGCTCTATAGCTCTGTTGCTCTGCGACTCGTTATTATTTATTGCATTTTGTCAAATCTTCTCGCTAATCTTATCAACTTCCCTGTGATATTTATTTAATCCGATAAGATAATGAGCCAACTGTGAACGGCGTCCATATTTGGTTGCATATAGCGTTAAACTAGGCGCAATAACTAACATGGTCTATTATTAAAATGTTTACGATCAGAATTACTGTTTCCCTGAAATTCAATATAGATTGTTATATGTTTCGAGGTCGTGTTTCAGGGTTCAATGCTTCCTTTTCCTGTACATCAAAAAGTAGAATTTTTTAATTTGTTAGGATGGACTACACGCCAAGTACTTTCGTCAGTTTCGTGTCTCGAATAATGCGATCACACACACACACGTGTGCATATTAATTGCAAAAAATAATTTCGCGTTTTGCATAATTAATTCGCGGTTTCTGATTGATATAATGCGCAATTTACGGCACGAAATAGACGTGTAGAATTTATTGATTTTCTGTATAGCATTCATATAACAAGTAAAGCGTATATATGCGTGATGTTAATCGATAATACACATATACTATATATAATTATATATATATATATATATATATATATATATATATAACCTATGTACTACGGTTCAGCAGATAGCCCGAGCGCTCTAGTCAATCAACAGCATCAATCGACATGATCAAATTTTATCGAAAAAGATTTCAGTGTAGTGTGGCTCAGACGGCTACGGCTTTTCCCGTTAGCTATTAATTCTTTTTAATTGATTTTCATCTCAAGTTCGCTTACATTTCGTCTCTAGGTCACTACACACTCCGGTACTCACTAACAAAACAACCAAGGGATAAGAAAACAGTGGCGGGCTATCGGGGGCTCGTTGTGCACGCAGTGAGCAACACTCCTCATCCCCGCTACATTATAACTCTTGCCCTGCATCCTTTGTAATTCCATCGCTTGCTGGATGTACGTAATGAGACGTCAGTCTACACTATAGATTTCTACACAGTCTATACTGGATTCAGAATCGATGAACACTTAGGTTGCGATGCGGACAAAGCCGGAGTAACAAACGTTTGAAATCATGTCGTAGAAGATAGTCAGAAGGCGGACAGAGATGCATGTAATTATTCAATTAACACGAATGTGAGCTGTGTATATCAGTAATGCAATTTGGGATCTGTTCGCCGTTAAGAAGTTTGCAAAAAAAATTTCGCAAGTTGAAAATCTTTTCTCAGTCGAATAGTGGACGGTTAGTACGTGAAACCAAATAGGAAGCTTGTTTGAAAGAGAACCCAGGTCATTTTTTTAGAATAACTTTGGACAGGATGTGATAACTTGACTCGCGTGTGGTTGTGCGGGTTATAGAAAAAGTGTCTGTCAGTATCGGGTGATTATTTGTATTCAATCGAAGAGAAAATCTTTGCGCGCGTCATCTTCTGTTTTAAATAGTAAATCTTCTACTACATCATCTCCGGTTTGCTGATTCATTCTTGGTACACCTGCGTGCTTGTGATTCCCAGACTGCAATATGCCGAATCCACAAAACGCAGCTAATGCTCGAAACATCAAATACAAAATCGTACATGATGTATGGGCTCTCGGTGATCACAAGGAACACAGCCCGCAGCCCGGATGGTTGAATGTCCTTCGCCGCCAATATGAAGGAACAGTATATATATCAGTGATCCCCGTGGTCAAGCCAGATAATCACCGATAGCGACAGGCCGAATATAAGGCAGAGTTTAGAGCTAGTGAGAAAAACAAACCTGAGTGATTCGAAAAACTTTCATGCATCACTTCTCTGTGCAATATATCACCGGACGAGAGGAGAGCAGAGAGAGAGAGAGAGGAGAAGAGAGGGAGGAGAGAGGAGGGATATATAATATATATAGAGAGAGAGAGAGAGAGAGAGAGAGAGAGAGAGAGAGAGAGAGCGAGACGAGAGGAGAGAGAGAGAGAGAGAGAGAGAGAGAGCGAGATAGAGAGAAGGAAATAGATATATATATATATATATATATACTATATAGATAAAGATAGAGAGCCAGCGAGAGAGAAGCTCTGCATGTATAGCTATAGGGACCTTCGTACTCGATCGTCTGTGTCTGACTGCCTATTATAGACTCGGTTCACAACCTAACACGCGCTATAATAAATGCGCCATTGCTGTTCACAGAGAGATTATCATATTTTAATATAATATCGAATTGACGCAGTTCACCAGAGGTGCATTAGGCATTGCTAAAGGGCATAGTGTGCATGGTCTCACTTGTACTAGAGCACGATGAAACGCGGAGGAAAAACTATCATATCATTATAATAACATTATTATGTCACTGGGAATATGCACGATGATTTCACTGCGAGCGAACGTTGTCGACGTGCGTCGAACGACTGCAGTAAAATCATCACGTAATAAACATCACACATGTTATCACGGCTCAATTATCGCCACGTTAATAGTTTTGAACGGGCGCTATACGGGCGATTCTACATATGCTTCCAACCAGGGCATGTGAATAATGACAAATATGATATTATGATATCAAATATGATAAATAAATAAATAAATATATATAATATATATATTATATATATATCTGACTGTATATGATATATATATGATATTATTATTATATATATATTAATATATACTATATATAAATATATATATATATATATGATATATATATATATATATTATATATATATATATTATATGATAAATATGATATATTTGTCATTATTCCCTTTTCCACCCTTGTTTCCACGACCACTCATAAATCATGAACGGGAACCGACAGCCCCGCGTGTATAAAGGGGAGATGAGTATGGTCTAAATGGGAGAAGAAGAGCGCAGAAGATGGGAACATCAAGCGACGTCATGCTCCGCTATAGCTAGTGACTCACTCATGCATGCCCTCTCAACGATGCGATGCGGAACAGTTGTTCGCGGAGTAGAACTTTTACGTATTTGCGCCGCTAGAGCCAAAAGGATTTTGTCTCTTCAAACCCGCCAAGAAATCCTGCCGGTTTTTTTGCCTATAAAATATACATAAGCGGTATAGGCCTGCATGCGCAGCGGGTATCTGGTCATTTTGCGTGTAGCGTGCAGTAGTGGGAGAAGGCAGCTTGGAAACCAGAATACAGTCGCTTTACACGTGATACGATCAAACGGAGCACTCTAAACCTTGTTGTGCATATTCGCGTCGCTTGGCTGATCTGTCGTGTAGCTAGAACACGCCTTAGAAGCTGTAAACGAGAGCGTACTTCCCGTTCTGTTTTACTCTTGCGCGACTCCGGTACTCTCTCGGGGAACGAGTTATTTTGTTTGCACAATTTCCTCCTTCAATTTTTCATTGCCTTGGTTCATTCGCGTGTATAAACGCAAACTCTGAAGCTATGATATCACACTACACATGCACGTAAAATTTTGCGCAGATTGAACATTTCATATTTTTTTCAGTATTTGTTGATTATATAACTATGCAATAACGCGCATGCCTCATTTAAAATATAACCTAACATTTCGCATTTTTTAAAAATCAGCGTCCGCTGCTTCAATCGCTGTTAGCTCCGTTTCTGAAATAGATATGCACTAGTGACGTAATGCGACACTTTTGCGACGTCAGATGACTTCGGAGGTCAAATCCAATGTGCCCATGTGGCAATGTGGCCAAAGTTACATCTAATTGCCACCCTTGGACGTATCTAGAGTGGCCCATATTCATTTGAATCGAGAACAGACAACAGAGAAACTTCCACAAATATGTATTAGATGTTACCTTACAGGACCTTTGTAAAATATAATGTATTAAGTTATGAACTCGTGTTCTTCTTTTTTTCTGTTTTTGCGGGGGTTGTTAAGAATTGATGATCACACGCTTACTCATGCATCTACTGGACAATCATGCGAAGGGGCCGAAGTATTGGTTATTGGTTGCGTCCGCTTTCGTTCGACTCTCCCCTCGTCACTGACTGATTATTTACCCACCCCGTCAACACTCCCCATTTTGGCAGAATCTCTCGTATGTGAGTGAAGCTGCATGCTGTCGCGGCAACCCCTTGATTAAAGACAGCGGTGACCTCATCGGAATTACTCAGGGGGAAAAGAAACTTCTTAAATAGATATCGCGCGAAATTGTTCCGCAGCGCATTATCCGTCACTCACGCAGTCTGACGTGGAATGATCATCGGGTGTGTTTTTTTTCCAACTCGGGACAGAGAAAAGTGCGCTGACACGATGATTAGCTTCTCGTTGATCCCCAAGCCGGAGAACAGTATATTAGGGCGGGGATGGAGCGACGTTTCATTTGCTTCATACGCGCACCATGCACGCATTCACACACGCGCACACGCATGCACACGCGCTAACACATGCACGCACACACACGCGCACACACATGCACGCACACACAGCGCACACACATGCACGCGCGCACGCACACTAATGACACACGCGCGCATACGCAAGCACACGCATGCACACGCGCACGCACACTAAGCACACGCGCGCATACGCAAGCACACGCATGCACACGCGCACACGCGCACGCATGCACACTCGCGCCTACGCAAGCACACGCATGCACACGCACACACACGCGCATGCACACACACATGCACACACGCACACACACACACCACACACACAC